TGATGTTTACGATTGATTTTACAAGCACAGATCAGGGTACGGAAACACATGATCAACCAATTCACTGAGCTTGACCAAGCGAAGCTTTTCCTCGCCTCATACTATAAGCTGAGTTGGATGTCGATATTATTTTTATCTGGGATTCTGACATCGGACTGAAGTTACACCGTATGTATAAATCAAACACTATGATTTATCCATAAATAATGCACATTTAAAGATGTCAGAGAGTTAATCCAATGCTCTGCTAGGGCTGCATAAGTATACTCAATGTTTCTAAGAAAAACGTATGGAGGGAAGTAGGGATTCTTTAGTTATTGATAAAAAATTGCTCATTTGACGCGGGACGCACAAGTGACAAGCGCCCATGCCTGAGAAAATCAGCTTTCCTTTCCAGCCTGATCATTGAGAATACTATTGTGGCGAGAGGAATTCTCTTGTGTCGCGTCAACGTGACGGTATTGTAGTTATGTCGCTAATCCCCGTAATTTAGGGTGTGTTTGTGGAACACTCCACTGTGATGACAGACGTGCATGTTATGCATAGCAACCATTGATTATCAGACAGTCAGAGAAGGAATGATCACGCTGTTGTTGCCCTTTCACAAAGCCCCGTAATTTAGGGAGTGTATGTGTGATGAATATAAAGTTCCATGGGAAACCTAGGGAGAAGGTATGACCACATTTGGTATGGATGACATTATTTTATTGTCACGTTTGAACGATGAAATGACCCACGTCGATTTGTATTGTTACACAGGATAATTGTCTCAGTCGTCTCGTTTCTTTTACCTCTTTTTACACCGAACCCCCGCACTCGTAACGATTCGGGTTAGAATAGGTCTTCATCAACACATGCTTGCCCTAAATCGGGACTATGCGTGTCGTAAGAGCCGACTAACAGAAACGAGTGGTCAGGCTCTCTGACTTGGTTGATATGTGTCGTCGTGTCCCAATTGCTCATAATGTCAATCACTGGACTCTGGTCCAGACTCGATTATTCAGAGACTGTCGTCACATAGCTGGAATATTACTGAGTGCGGCGTGAAACAACAAAAGCACAATCAATATATACATTTGTATAACGTGAGACTAACCAATATTCCCGAAATATCTTGCCGGAAATTCCAGTGATTGTAAAAATGAGCAACCCCACAAGCCGTCGGGGTACTATGACAAGCATTCAACAAAGAAAACTTAATGCATGCTTTTGCCTCGATCATTTACTATAGGTGTCTGGGAACCTGTTGTAACCCGGACACGTCACTGACAGATTCATGTATCCTGCATGTGAGTGAGTGATTATGGTTTTACGCCGCTTTTTGCAATATTCAAGCAATATCACGGCGGGGGACACCAGTAATGGGCTTCACAGATTGTACCCATGTCGGGAATCGAACCCGGGTCTTCGGCGTGACGAGCGAACGCTTTAACCACTAGGCTACCCGACCGCCCCCTCCTAGATGTGAACTGCTGACTTATCGTGTTATCATTTAGGTTTCACGACAAGCATTGCTTCAGAGAACGGTGAACCCTTTCATCATTTATTGCAAAGACTTGAGTGGAGAAGAGTTGCTATTTTACTACATGGGAGCAATGGTAATGATCTGTCCTTTTACCATATGCTTTTCAGTTCGTTTCTTCATGTGCTGTGATACGTGTCTAGTCTATTATTACAGTTCGAAATCCATATGTATTAAATATATGTATACACATTGCTTTGAAACTGAAAAGAATTGAAATGATATATACTCTCTCTAGAAAAGTTTCTCTATTAAATATCAAAAGTGCTAGTGTTTGGGCGATTACAGTGAATGGCCTATTCAGCACAACTGGAAGTATATTTTGCTTGTTGGTTTCTTTAATGCCGCATGCAGCAATATTCTAGGTATTCCAGAAAATAGGCGTGGGAGTTGTTAATCGTTCAATAACAGGGAGAATAAACCGCTCTTGGATGCAATCGTTCGGCCAATCGCGTTATCTGCTTTGCCCAGCTACATCTATGGGGAACCATTCAATGGACACTCTCCTCTCAGAAAAAAACGTCGAGCAAAATACGACGTCCTCAAGATGTGAACACATGTTCGAATCTCCGGAAATTATGTCACGATACAACAATGCTTTATCGTGAATACACCACACTTCATTGTTCTTCATTGTTCATTGCGATTTATCACATAGCTATCTTATACATCAGTACACAATGCCATTATAGAACGTGGTCAAATGACACAAATGTTATATTCGGGATAACACTTTCTTCGTTAAGTACAGATTCTCGTACTTTGGATTCGAACCCACACTTGCCAGAGTGAAGCACCAAATCGCTAGCACACAAGGTCAGTGATCATCGCTGTTAGAAGACAGATCGATGTGAAAAACACGCGACCTTGGGTACAATGCATTAGGAACAGTATAATCATACCCTGTATCATCTGACAAGTGGTGATCCAGGGGGAATGTGATTTTCGGCAAGAACAGACTACACTGCAAGGTCAACATGCTTAAATGCCAGAGGCGTTAGATCACAGAGAGGCTTTTCTTTGGAGGACGAACGAATGCCACCAAGTTGTTCCACGGAGCCAAACCAGATGAAATCATTGAATATATAGATTTCTGTTCTCTCTATCCTTACATTTGCAAATATGGTACTTTCCACATAGGACATCCCAAAGATCATCTTCGTCTTCACTGTTTGAGCTTCATGGCCTGATCAAATGCTGGGTATTGCCACCCACTCACCTCTACCACTCTGTACTGTCTTACCGCGTCCATGACAAGTTGCTATTCCCTCTGTGTCGCACTTGTGCTGAAGGACAGTTGGATGGTTCCTGCCTTCACAGTGATGATGACCGAGCCTGGGTCAAAAGTTCAACAGCTGAAGATTGTGGCTATCACTGCTATACATCTAAGAGGCTAGGACCATTGACACCCTATCCACCTACGATTTGGTCACTTTAGAGGGAGGCCTGTTTGCCAACTAAGTGAACAACTTCTTCAAGAACAAAAAAGAGGCCAGTGGTTAGCCAGAGGGATGTTAAGATACAGATACCAACATCAGCGACATCAGCGACCTGCGTCTGAAAGATCCCTAAAAAATCCACAAGAATCCTGGATTGCTTGCTTTAGCTAAAGCGTGTCTCAACAACCACTGGGGGAAGTTTGGTCAATGTCAAGGGTTTGGAAGAATGGAGTACATCAGTGCACCCCTGAGGTTCTTTGCACACAGCATTGTCTCAACATCAATGGAAATTTACTATGTGTCACCTACGCATATCAGAAGAAATTTCATGAGCCACATCCTGCATACAATGATGTCATGGCAGCCTGGGTGACAGCTCAAGCACATCTCAAGCTGTATTCATACATGAAGCCCTGTGATCGACGTGCGTTAAACTTTGATACAGACAGCATCAATTTCATCCACCGTCCACTGACCTGGAACCCTCTCCTAGGTGATAGTTTGGGGGATCTCACCGATGAGCTGGATAAGGGAAACACCATCCGTACCTTTGTGTCAGCAGCTCCCAAGAACTATGCCTACGAACTAGTTGACCCTAAATCTGACATCACCATAAACATGTGCACAGTCCGTGTATTTACCCTCAACTACCGGGCCACAGTTTTGACACAGTGAAGAACCTACCAATCCACAGTCTTACCGACGAAGCTGTTGAAGGAAACAGTGTCTTAGTTTCAGTACGTCTCTCAGGAAGGCGTTTCTGAGGCCTATTGAAACGCAAGATAGCCAGCCGGTACAGACTGACGTTGATACAGCAACAGCAGCATCATCCCTCAAGAGAGAAACATCCAAAACCCAAACGGATCCGACCCAGGTTCAAGTGTCCCCTCAGAATTGGGGGTGCATCATATCCACTCGATGCTACAAAGCGAATCGCTTCAATTTATTCGACTTTGTCCCGGCAGCGTCCTTGTATGTCTGTATTGTGGGGAAATAACTAAATGACAACAAGAATTACTTGACAGCGTGTCCAAGGGTCAATTCGTTTTCAGAAGCCTGGATCGTGTGTGCATTTGTCAGTACATTGACAGAACGAGAGGTGCTTTCGGGAAGGGCAAGGTCGCCGCGAGTGTTGGAAAAGATCATATCACTGAGCTCACAATGTTGTACGCTAGTACTGCTGTTGTTTTTTACACTTTGAATGTTATTGTGACCTGGAATTTGCATGATTTCACTCCTGGAGTGATTGAATCATAGTTTTCCTGGACAGGTGATTTGTGACACGTTTTCCATTGATGCCCATTCAATGGGATAATCTTTTCATAATTGAGCCAAGTTAATTTTTTCCAACGGGTCATACGGGGAGCCACGTCACGGACATTACCCGTGTCATTGTCAGTGCGTGTCTTTTTATGACGTTCATTGTACTTGATCAACACTTTACCAGAGTCAGAATCAGAGTAGATTTAGAACATCTCCCCACCTCGTCAAGTGATGGCATCACACATAATGTTGATTTCATTATTAGATAGACTCTTGGTAAGTTTCCTCGTGCTTCTCTTTTCAGAACTGTTTGCTTGATTGATAGAACTTCGAAAACAGCTTCGAAGCTCACCATTCTGAAACAATGACTTTTTGTAACCTCTTCATTTTAGAAAGCTAAATATTTTGTAGATATGTAAAGTGCCTATTTTGCTTTTTGAAACGTCATAACTATTGCTATCAATATGTCATATAACTGAACACACAACATATGTAGCTACGTGTCACGTCGTTCTGATAAACAACATTTACTCTGTCATTTTTTTAAACAAGAGGCATTGGGGAAGCCTAGGGTTGACGACTTTCACTGGTTAGACTCGATTCACCAGCATTGTACAATTCTGGTTTTCTGATATTGTTGTAGAATGAAGAAAAAAAGTTCAAAATGCACGTAATGCATGAACAGTGTACGTAAATTGGTTAGATATACTTCATCTCAGTGTTTGAGCCAGAAGGAGTGAATAAAAGTTATTGGTAGCAGAGCCTGAGAAACTCTCATGGGGTACATCTACATACCTTTCAGTCTTAATCCTGAGGAAGATGAAGCTTCAATGAATGGTAAAACGTTTACATTTTACATTGATCAGAGATACTGTTGGCTTTTGTGTTTCTGTTTTCGACAATTACACAAGTATAACCATATTGCTGGAATATTGCTGTAAGGGCATCAAACTGTACTCACTGACTCAGTTTGATGAACGAAACGTTGGTGTCTTATGCCTGCCTTTTTTTTCATTCACTAGTATATGCAATCTCTATAAACGCATTTCACATTTGACATGAAGGACAAATGCTTTGATTATTTGTTTCAGAGAATGACTGTTTAGTACCTGCTCGTATCCCGTCATTGACCAACAGCATCCAGTTTCTTGTGTATGACCTCAGCATCATGGATGCAAATAATACTTTACAGGAAATCCACGAAGTTCTCTTCCCAGAAATACACGTAGTTGCTTCTATGAGTCATAGGCATATGACCGAGTTGATGAAAATGGTTTGTTTCAATATTTTTAGCTTTATATGGTATCCTCACCAGCATATCGTGTGTAGAATGAGTAGTGAGTAAGTATGGTTTTACGCCGCTGTTAGCAATATTCCAGCAATATCACGGCGGGGGACACCAGAAATGGGCTTCACACATTGTTCCCATGTCGGGAATCGAACCCGGGTCTTCGGCGTGACGAGCGAACGCTTTAACCACTAGGCTACCCGACCGCCCCGTGTGTAGAATGAAGTTATATGATCCTGTAATATTGCTGAAAAGTTGCTGTGGAAGGATACAATGGTCACATTGTGTCTCTTGGCCTGCCAACACATTTTCCGCAAAATGCTAACACTTGTACATCATCATACATCCAATGTATCATAGCTCTGTTCTGGTGTAATATATACCAGGAACAATACACCATAACTGCAGAATCTGGGGATGGTGTAAATCATGCTGGGGAACCATGCAGGAAGCAAAATCCCCATGTTCCCTGGTATGGTGGTCTAACTTTAGTTGTTTGTGATCTGTAGCCTGTGTTTATAATGTGTCATCTCTCATAACATGATCATTTTACTGTAATTAAACTAGATTTAAAGGTATAATCTGTAATATATCACTCGTGCTGTACTGCCCTTTGACAGCATTTATGTGTGATAAGTAATATAAATGCATAACTTGTTAAAGTCAGGATATGGCTGAAGTATTGCCAATCTGACTTTAAATATTAACTCACTCACTAATTTCATTGGATGTCTAATTTTGGTGTTGTATCATTTGAAATGGACTGGAAATAGGGTATATATCATAATGGAATGGAGATAGGATACACGACATAATCGAGAATGTGACTTGCGCCACTGTGGCCCTTTCTTCTACAGTAAGGTGACACCTCACGCCTCACTGAAATAATGTTCAAAGCGACCATAAAACAAACTAAATATCTCATTCCCGATTTTGAAGATGCTCATGGAATGTAACATTTGGGCATTTATCTGTATTATTATCGCTTATTGCACATCATAGAAATCATTGTGATTTAGGTCGATTCTTTCGATATAAAGACAAGGGGAATGACTGATTTTCGACATCATTCAAAGTGGCTACTTCTTAACGAAGAAGAGAACACCGTTGATTTGCCGGAGTTCATTTATTTGGAAAATGTTGTAGCAGTGCTTCATCATTATAAGGTATGTATGCTCAATTTATTGAAATATTTGCTTTCGATGGTGGTGCAAAACTGTGCACTATCTTAACATTCATAAGTCTAGATATCTGTCTATGTAATTATTTGACATACATCTGATGAACTTGCGTTTTACACCTTGATATTAGCCAAACTTAGTGTGACTCTTAACAGTCTCAAAGGAGTACCTGCTAAGATGATAGTTGACTTTAGAATATCTCTTGTTTCACAAAATCTAACATCTTCTTACACAGCAGTTCTTTGGGTTTGGTGTGTAAAGTGTCTAGTGTCTACAGTGTGCACTTTAGTGTTGTGTCATACCAGATAGGGGATTTAAATGTTATTCCATGCCATCTTGACTGCAAAGTATTTTCTAATCTTTCTTTCAACTTGTGCTTCATATATTTTTTAGTGTTGGATGCATAGCGTTTTTACCTTAAAACGACACCTTGCCCGAAATGAGTGGGTACCAGTAGCCGCTTGTACCCAAAGAAACATCAACCTGTGCTATTTTCCTAATGCTGCCTATGGTTACAACAACAGACGTTTGTTGGTGACTACTCTCGAGGTAACAATGAAAATATTCCACTTGGTAAATGACTCACCTAGCCGTTGTCATAGATATGCTCTCACCTGTTGCGTTGCGTTGACCTTCGTCTGCCCATCCATAGTTGAGTGAGTGAGTGAGTATGGTTTTACGCCGCTTTTAGCAATATTCCAGCAATATCACGGCGGGGGACACCAGAAATGGGCTTCACACATTGTACCCATGTCGGGAATCGAACCCGGGTCTTCAGCGTGACGAGCGAACGCTTTAACCACTAGGCTACCCGACCGCCCCCATCCATAGTTGAAGTCAAAAATGACATGAAAGTAAATCTTTGCATTGGTGAGCCAGACTGTCGTGTCTCTATAACTACCCAGAAAATTCCGTTATGATTTTGAAGACAGCGGTTTTGGCCCGGTATTCCGCCATTTGTGCATGTATCTGTAAAACATTGATGTCCAGCAAGTATGCAATATACAGAAAATTATAAATGTTTATGTTTGTCTTCATGATGTAGATCGATCCTCAATCACTGGCCCAGATTCGATTATTCACAGACCGCCGTCATATAGCTGGAAAATTACTGAGTGTGGAGTTAAAAACAAAGAAAGAAAAATTAAAGATTATTTATCCGAAACTCCATATGGCTGTCATTTTGGAGACGTAATTTTCCCGTTAGTCGCCTTTTACGACAAGCATAGTCGCCTTTTACGGCAAGCATGGGTTGCTGAAGACCTATTCTACCCCGGATCTTCACGGGTCGGCCTTCATGTTATGTACAAACACTGTATATGTTCAATTACTGCATTCTTGACATACTCAGACACCCTTAGTTTATAAAAGCAGAAGAAAAACCTAGCAATGCTGTCCGTGAAGATTCGGGTTAGAGTAGGTCTTCAGCAACCCATGCTTGCCGTAAAAGGCCATACTGCTTGTCGTAAGAGGCGACTAACCGGATCGGGTGGTCAGGCTCACTGACTTCGTTGACGCATGTCATTGTATCCCAATTGCAGTGCTTAAAAATAAAAATGCTTCAGATAGTTAAAAAAAGAACTAAATTATCTGTCACAAAAAATACATTGTTGCAAGATGTTTTCAAACAAATATTACTTAGGCTCATATATTTGATGGGCAATCTTTGTGTTCCAAAGTGCAATAACTCTCCTTTCGAATGATATAAGCGACGGTTCGCTTCCAGACTGGTTCCAGGATCATATACGCTGCGACAACTAGTGACACATAGAGATGGAGCCAAGCTAAAATATTACCCTGTTGCACCTTCATTCAAAAACTGTCGTTCACTACTTAACATTTTGTATTGATTATGAGTTAAGAATATCAACAATTTTTCCAACTAAAACACGAATTAACGCGATTGACCACTGCCGGAAAAACACCATGATAAATGATATATTGCCACGTCATTTTCTACGTCAGAAAACATCAAGGTATTCTGTCAGTCTAGGCAACATATCGCATCGGCGATTTTTATATACTCTTCAAACAGTGTTTCATTTATGGTTTCTCTGTCCTATTTTGAAACAATAACATTATATTACATTTTGAAAGTCAGTGTCAAGTTTCTTTTTTTGAAGAGTATATATCAGTCCATGTGTTATTTCCCTTGAAAAGTATTTAACTATTGCAGCATTGAAATACTTTTCATTCTACCATGGACTTAAATGTAGCAAACTTGGAAATAAAAGCCTCCATTGCAGCACATGCCAAAATATTTAATAATATGTTTTTGCCCCTTATAAAATATGTCCTATCATTTAGTGCTTACTTAAGTTGTTCATCCCTCATGCAGTTGAGTCGCTATATGACTGAAATAATGCCGATACGACGTTAAATCATAACTCACTCACTCATGCAGTTGAGGATAAAGCTTTGTACCTACAAAAAGCATATAATACTGACTACCCCACAAGATGTGTATGATACATAAATAGATGTGAATGATTGTTGTTTGTCTTCTTTTGGTAACATACGTTGACATGTTTCCCCCTCTTAACTCATGCACTATCCTGTTATAGCTGTTTCACCCAACAGTACTTTAAGACACCTGAATCATTAAGCAAATATAAATAAAGATAAGTTTGTAATCGACTATTTTTATCAAGACACTAATGCAAATTTAACCCCAGTATCTCTCCATGTAGAAAATCTGTTTATGTTATATATATGATACAACCCTCATACTTGTTCTCGTATGGACGCTAGAATTTATCCCCAAACCCCATGTTTCAGTCACCTGTGTACATTGTGAAGTCCACCAACAATGGAACAACGCAGTATAAAGGATACGCAATAGATATCCTGGATACAATTGCCGCTTTCCTAAATTTTAGGTAAGAAAGTTTAAGTAATTTTTTGTTCTACCTGACCACTATCAATAGTTTTATTGTAGTTCTCTTTATGTCTCTTTATTGAATGGGAGTTTGAAGTTTGAGAGTAACCTTTTACTGTATGAAGAATTCTTCTCCTTTCAGTTACAGTGTCACTGAACCACTGGATCAGTCTTGGGGACTTCCTGTCAACGGAACCTATGACGGAATTGTGGGGCAGCTGAACAGAACGGTAGATTGACTTGAGACCTTTGCATTTTATGTATTTGATCACTTACCCTAAAACGTAATAACTACTATCTACATATACGTTTTATGCCAAAAGTTATTGTAGCCCAGAGTAATTACTTGTATATGATATTGTGAAAAGTAGGCCTTCCCGTTTGTGGCCAACAGTAAATGAAGGCTAAATGCATATGCACGCCTATCCGGACCGAGAACATTGACGTGTTGGCAATGCTACTAAACCTTTCCTATGAAAACATAAATAATGAACCAACTTAAACACTGGTTTACCATTATGTAACTTCGTTGGAGCGCATATTTGAATTGGTCTGATCTACCCAGTAGTTTATTGCAAGTTGCGACCTAAAATGGATTGTGTGACTCGGTGACTTGTTCGCATACCTGTCACTGAGACTGATGACGTGGAAAGTTTCTCTTGTCTTTTCAGTCAGTGGACTGTATCTATTGAATGATTATACTGATATTTAAATATATGAGATAAAAATATACTTTTATGCCAAAATAAGACTAGTCTATTCTAACCCTATAATAATTATATATATTGTAGGAGGTGGACCTTGCCGCTTGTAACCTAGTAATAAATGAAGGCCGATCTGATTTCATGGACTACATCTATCCGCCGATCCGGACAGATTACATTGTCGTAGTGTATAAGAGGCATGATAAACAACGAACTACTTCTCTATTCCTTCTGGCGCTACCACTCAGGCCTACGGTGTGCCTCATTTTGCTCCTGGTGGCAGGATTATGTCCTCTGTTGTTGGCTGTGTTCGAAAGTGGGGATTTCGGCTGGAACAAAACAGCTGCAGGCTCTGGAGATGTCGGCGTTACTTATGTAAAGAAAGTGAAACAGAATCTGCTTAGTGCTTGCTGGGAGGTCACCGGATCTCTGTTCAAGCAGGGTATGTACAAAATGAAGTGCATCACGATTTAGGGTTTCTCATTATATTTTTATGAAAATCAACCAATTTTGTGTTCATGTACATTTGTCATATATAGGAAATGAATGGTTGACATATATCACAAAGCAGATGTGTAGACCAAAAGCTTTTTTATATTTTCTAAATTTGATGGCTATGCAGTTTAACAAAGTGTACGTCAAAACGTATGTGTATCCTGGGCCATAAATCATAAACACATTAATATTACATTAATGTTCCAAGTTGAACATGTGTCTGAAAATTCTTCTTTTACAAAAGATGGAAACTTGATGGATTAATCATGATGTGTGTGATCCTAGTAATGAGGGACGGTCGGGTAGCCTAGTGGTTAAAGTATTCGTTCGTCATGCCGAAGACCCGGGTTCGATTCCCGACATGGGTACAATGTGTGAAGACCATTTATGGTGTCCCCCGCCGTAATATTGCTGGAATATTGCTAAAAGCGGCGTAAAACCACACGCACTCACTACTGACAATGACTACAACTTGTTGCGCCAACATTTCAGTGATGATTAGGGCTAGGCAGACTTTAAAACATGAGGATGGAAATATGTTCAATATCTTGGGTCAATCGAAAGTGGTACAGTGAGCATATTTCTCGGAGATACCTTCTCACTTTTGTACTTGCAGGTTTTAGTAAATATCCAAGAACTCTACCCGGGAAGGTGTTGGTGACGTCATGGTGGATGCTGATGATGGTGATGACGACAGTCTACTGTGCCAACCTGGTCGCCGCTTTGTCTGCAGAGACTGATGTTAAACCTTTCTCTGACCTTGAGGGGCTACTCGACAGTGACTATTCTGTTGGTATGGATGTTGGAGGAATTAGCAGCTACTTACTAAAGGTATGGATGAGCTAACTGCACGGTCCAAATCAGTTGTGCCTGCTACTGTTTGTGAGATACAAGATTGCATTGTGACGAGATACATGTTTATTATATAAAGATGTAAACAAACTAACTTCAGTTGGGAATACATTATGTTGTACATATTATTTGATATAATAATAACTGAGACTCTTACAATTGACACAACGACTATGCCTTGATCATTATTGAAATAAGTTAATCTATTCCACATTAAGGACAGGGCGGTACCAGCATGTTGTGATTCTCTTCTTCTGTGACATGAATAGTGTGAATAGTAACTGAGCATCTGCCCGTGATGAGGCACACTATGGTGTATTTGATTTTTTTTATGAGCCTTGTTGTTGAAAGCATTGTGTACAATGTATGAACGTATTAATGTCTTATGAAATTGCTCACTGTCAGTCAAGTCTTCCATCAAGTGTCAATGGAAGGATGTGGTCCAAGATAGCTGCCAACGACCCTGTGTTTCTTGATTCCAACGCTGAGGTTCATTTCAAAAGAGTGAGAAGTGAGAAGTATGCCTTTTTGCATCATGAGTCAAACATGATCCGCCCAATGGCTGAAGACTGCCAATTGGAGCTTCTAGGAGAAAGTGTACTGTGGTCAAACCTGGCATTTGGATTGCCTCAAAGGTCTCCTCTGAAAGCCGACTTCGATAAGGCGTAAGTTGTCATAAAACCTTCAGTCAACTTTTATTAATCAAGTTTCAGTAATTTTAGCTTGCAGGAAATAAAATAAAGGGAAATATTGAAAATAGTAATTTACTTGTAATTGAATTTTCCGAAATTATTCCCTTGACAGCATTTAAAAATGTCACAAAAACAGAGAACTGGTGGAATCGTATTATTGTGTATTTAGTGTGTGAAATTTATTGATGTCTTTTTACAAAACATAAAATGAGTGGAATATGTGAATGGAGTAGTGATTGCAAGTCCGTGTGAAAGCAGCAGAAATCAAGAACTCAAGCTTTTTCTTGTCTCCTCGGCAGTATGTCGCAGCTCACGTCGAGTGGCATACTAGACGTAATTTGGGCGAAATGGACTGTCAAGAGAAACCTGACACATTGCCCACAACAAAGAATCTTGAAGTCAATCACAGTCAACCAGATGGGGGGTGGTTTCATCGTCGTGTGTGCGGGGACTGGACTCAGTATCATTGTGTTGTGTCTGGAGAAACTGATACATTTCAGGCAAAACTGATTTACTTATGAATCAGTATCACCAAACTGTACCACAGAAGAGAATAGTATCATTTTGAAACTAGCAAACTAAAGACAAAAGGGATGTTCCTGATACATTAAGATAACACATGAGAGCAACACAAGGAAAAGAATTGTTCCAATTTAATAAAGACTCTCATGAAGGATGGACACTATTTATTCTCTTTTGTGTTTGTACCAGTGCATATTGAAATTAATGTTAATAAAATATGACAGATATGCATTGTTCAAATGTGTTTTCGATGATATTTGTTAAATAAAGAATATGTGCAATGATATATTGTACCCGTACAGAAAAGGCTAACAACAGAAAGAGCCCTGCCTCTTGGTACACAACCCACCCCGGCAAAACCCGTTCATATTCATAGGAAACCTCTGTTACGAGCAGAGTCGGTTTCACGGTTTTAACTATATCATGACCATGTGTTCATGAATCACTATGAAAAGGTGATAATACCAGGTGTTTGCAAAAAGGTGAGCGCATCCTGCCCCACCAGTGGCAGCCATCTGATCTACATGCAAAAACAAGTCAATTGTTTACCTGAAAAAAAACCCTTATGGTACATGAAGGAATTAAAATAGGGCATTCCATCGGACATAGTCACTCATGTCGATAGTAAACCATTTTTGAGAGATTTACTGAGGCTTTGAACCTTGACTTTGGTATGATGTTCTTCACAACCTTGACTTTGGTATGATGTTCTTGTGAAGTCTTCGTAGAAAGAGCAAGCTCGATTATACCTCAAAAGTTGTGAAATGTAGACACAAAAGGCTGGAGCTGCTGGAATATTGCTTGATATTTTGGGGAGGTTGACTCTTATAATACAGACTTGTGGAGATGTTTTGTCATCATCATCATCATCATCATCTATTTTTCAAAAAGACCCATCCACGGCGGTACAGGAGAAAAAGTCTACATGATAACAATTAATATTTAACAAGATGATGGTTATACTGTACACATATTTGTTGACATTTAAACATTTTGCTTGAAAATTTCAACTAACATTTAAACCGAAACACTTCCGTAAACAAACACATATATATTGTCACAGGCAAAGGTACTTATCTATCATACAAATTAATTTTGCAAGATTCTTGATTTCTTTTATATTTCTCGTACTCAACATTTTTTTGTATTTTATTATACTCGGAAACTGCGAACATTTATTCAAGATAAGTTAAAATCTAGATTCACGGAAAGCTTCACATTTAAGCAGGTAGTGGAATTCATGGGCTATAGCTTGTGACATACACAGTTTACATGTTAGAAATTCTCTGTCAATACTGAGCCAACGGCCAACTTCGACAGGCAGATTATGGTTACAGGTTCTATGTTTCACAATAGGATAATATATTAGTTTAGATGGGAGAAGAAAGTTTTGAAATAAAGTGATACCTTTTAAATATTTATAATAATAACCTTTTGAACTTCTCTCGACGTCTGATCTCCAATTTTGATAAAACTGATCTTTTAAAATTGTTTCTGTCTTGGGAGTTAGCCACTGGCTTGAAACTGTTTGTGGGTCATAAATTAAATAGGACAGACCACAATAATTAAGATTTGGCCTCACCTTCTTATCCAGGCATTTTGTTCATTATTAGATAAAAATTGCAAATGATCAAATTTATAGATAAGTTGTGATAGTTTTGGTGCAGGTCCGGGTTTACAAAGTTTATGCAAATAAACTAACTACACGTTTAGCTACATAAATCGATAAAGATGCTCGACCTAGTACTCCATAAAACATACAATTTGAGGTCGCATTTCTAAGATGAGAGGCTAGTTTAAGGAATATTAAATGAGTCTTTTCAATTATGTTCATATTTGTGTATGCCCAAATTTCACAGCCATATAATAATTGGTAATATCATTATATCAAAAAGCCTTAAGTAAACAATCCAAAGGAATATTATAATTTCTAGATTTTTTTAGATGACAGAACATGGCTTTAGATGCACTCTCCGCTAAACATTTTATTGCTGACTTGAAATTTTTGTTTCTACTAAATATAACACCTAAGTACGTATAATTGTCTATGATATCAATTTCCATGTTCTCCAAATAAAAAAGATAACCTACTATTTTTGGACTGCCCGCTTCCAAAGATCAAAACTTTATTTTTTTCAGGTTTACGTCTAATTTCAAGATATTGCAATTACTTTTTAAAGAATCATATGTATTATGGAGTTAAGTTGCAGAATGACCAACGAGGACAGTGTCATCAGCATACAGAAGGGTTAAGAAACAGACACATGTAAATCGTTCACATCACCAATTTTCACACCTGTGCATCCGTCTTTTAGAAGGGAATTTTCGAGATCATTGATAGAGACAAAATAAAAGAGGTGATTATTTTCTCCGTGCCGCTCGCCCAAGTAACATTGGAAATAATCTGATAAAACATCATTTACAGACACACATGATCTTAAATTTGCCGACATATTTTGAACAAACTGGAAGTATTTACCCTTAATACCACATGTTAGTACTTAATGCCACAACCGAACTCTCCACACATTATGAAAGGCTTTTGACAAAATCACAAGACTCTGATTCTTTATGCATAGCCTTAAATACACGAACAAAGGAAGCTTCATGCACTTCCGGTTTATCTTCAATTACATCCAAGTCACTACAGACCGGCGAATCCAATCTTCACCTGGGTGCCGATCCTGGGTATCCGAAAATTAAATGAAGAATGAAAAAGGGATGAAAAACAAACCAACAAGATTTTGATCTGTATATACACAAAGCGTAGAACAATTGACAGGATGAGGTATATGCATCGATTATCTGCACTGCTGTGCCAGAACCAAGAGGCCAAAGTGATAAGCCCATAGGAAGATCGACAGGAGCCAGAAGGATCCATGAATGGGAACTTCCTCTGGAAATAGCTGCAGTTGAGAATGTGATGAAGAATCTCTTCAAGGAGCGCTGCATCATTCAGAGCAAAAGACGAAGTTGTCTTCTACCTTTCTTAGCTCTAAGGTTGAGTCTAGTGAGGCAAAAAGATGCATCCTATGTGATGAAGGACACGATATATGGGCGTGTAGTGTATTTCTGGCCATGAAGGTGGAAGATAGGTTGAATGCAGCTAAAAAAGCAAATCTTTGTTTCCAATGTCTTGGCAAAGGTCATAACAACGAAGGTTGTAAATGAATCTGTGTGGTATTAATGGATGCAGAAAAGCCCATAACCGATAACTTCACAGACAACCTGAAAAAACAACCTTTGATTCCACCGCTTCGCATCTCACAACGGGAGATAAAAAAACTACTGCTCCAAGTAGTGATTCTTCAGATGGTGAAAAGGTTTCCACTGAAGATAGATCTCATGCTACATTGCCTCACGTTAAGCAGAGTGAGTGAGTGAGTGAGTTAAAATTTAAAGTCACAGCGGCATTATTTCAGCCATATCGTGACTTGAGCAAGTTATGTATTTATATAATATATTAAGACCTGTCGTCCAAGGACAGTACAACAACTAGCAAAATTTCACAGATTATAATTGTAAAACTAGTTAGAGAATAATAAAATAATCAGATTATAACAGACGACACAATATAAAAAAGGGGCTGTAGATCGCCAGCAACCAAAATTAGGCCACCATACTAGGGACCATGGGGACTTACGGTACTTCTGCTACCTACATGGTACCCCAGCAGGATTTACACCATCCCTCTGGCCACTGGCGATGATCAGAAAGATTAGCCAAAGCGGTAAAATCAACAAAAATACTACGATTAAAATCACAGAGAAATGAAATGATACGTTGAAGGATACCGGACTTACGTACCTTCCCAGGGGGACAATTGTTTTACGATACTTCAACCCCCTGTGAAGATACAGCCACTAACAATCTCAGTTATGATTTCATTCCACCAAATTAAAAATCATTTACTTTATACTGTACATATTATAATCAAAATTTATCTATTAATTCTATTTCTTTTAAAAAACCGATGATTAAAGGAGCACTGATTTGATTAAAAAGATCCTTTATGGATGTAATTTTGAAATATTTATCCCTTGTGATGGAAAAATCAATGCTGTCAAGCAGGACATGCTTGACCGTGATTCTCTCATCACAAGGGATACAAAATGGAGGATCTTCACCTTTCAACAAATATTCGTTAGTGTATCTGCTATGGCCAATACGACATCGTCGTAAAATGACCTCCTCAAATCTGGACTGACAACCCAAGTAGGTGTAACCGATAGTTGGTTTTATTGCATGTAATTTATTTGTACCTACTTGGGTGTCCCACTTCTTTTGCATAAGGACTTTGATATAGCATCTAATTAAAGGTTTGTAGTCGCTGTATGGTATAAGAAGTGGGGTCACAGATTTGTTGAGAGCTGCTTTTGCTGCAGCATCAGCCATAGTGTTACCCATGATTCCAACATGACTGGGTAACCAGCAATAGACGATGTCGTATTGGCC